GGACCCTGCCCTTGCCCTTGTTGAACCTCATCAGGTTCCTCTCTGCCCAGCTCTCCAGCCTGGCCAGGGCTCGCTGGATCCAGCACAGCCTGCCGGTGTGTCCACCCCTCCTCCCAGCTTTGTGCCAGCAGCAGACCTGCTGCGGGCCCGCTCCGTCCCCCCCTCCAGGTCATCGGTGAAGGAGCTGAACAAGACTGGGCCCAGTCCTGACCCTGGGGAGCCCCACGAGCTCCAGGCCTCCAACCAGCTTTGTGCCAGCAGCAGACCTGCTGCGGGCCCGCTCCGTCCCCCCCTCCAGGTCATCGGTGAAGGAGCTGAACAAGACTGGGCCCAGTCCTGACCCTGGGGAGCCCCACGAGCTCCAGGCCTCCAACCTCTGCCCTTCAGCCAGTTCTCAACCCACCTCACTGCCCGCTCATCCAGCCCACGCTCCCCGAGCTTCCCTAGGAGGGTGTTACGGGAGACAGTGTCAGAAGCCTGGGTGGACATCCACGGCTCTCCCCCTCACCCACCCAGCCGGTCATGCCATCGCAGAAGGCCATCAGATTGGCCAAGCGTGATTTCACCTTCGTGAATCTCTGCTGACTGCTCCTGACAACCTTCCCTTCCTCCACTGGCCCAGCATGAGCTGCTCCGTCCCCTTGTAAATGATGGAATCGTTAAGGTTGGAAAAGCCCTCTGAGATCATCCAGTCCAACTGTCACCCCAACACCCCCACGCCTGCTCAACCATGTCCCAAAGTGCCACATCCCACGTGTTTTTGAAGCCCTCCAGGCATGGGGACCCCACCACGGCCCTGGGCAGCCTGGGCCAAGGCTTTCCAGGCAGGGAGGCGAGGCCGGCCGGCCCGTATCTCCCTGCATCCTCCTTCTTGCCCTGCTTGAGGTCAAGCTGGCTTCCCTCCAGCCCTCGGGCACCTCTCCTGCTCTCCAGGACCTCTCAGAGATGACGGAGCTCATCGATGACATCGGTTTCCCACTAACCCACGCCCGCTTTACCTCAAATGACAACTAATTAACCAAACGAGCAGAGTCGGGCTCTCCGCAGCGTGCCGCGGCGTTCCTAATGGCCGCCGCCTTCTCTCCTTGCAGACGTGGCTGTGCCTGATCGCTCTGGGAGCCTCCGTGCTGGCCTGCGGCAGAACGGTAAGCGTCACCAGGACCCTGCTGACCGAAGAGCCGCCCTCGCCCGCCGCCAAGTAGGCGTTCGCCACGCGCAGCCATCAGAGCCAGTGCGTTGCTATGGTTCGCTGTGTGAACGCAGACAGACGTATGTGCGCTTTGCACAGGGGAGAGCGGGGACAGGAAAAACAAAACCAAACGCCAGGTCCTAAGCGGGTGTCGGGAGCGGGGGACGCGGCGCTGCCGGGACGCTCGGGAGCGGGACGGTTC